ATTTAATGAAACCCCTGACGGTGTGATGTGCCACTCATGCTTTGTATATGGGATCTGCGCAATGTAAATAAACCAACAAACCACCATTTAGGCAACCGTGGCTTGGCGTGCTGTGTGAACGCAACCAATTTGCATGCAACCCTAGGAATCCACTGGAAGGTTGAATAAAATGCAGTGGAGATTGGAAAGAGTGTCATTGTAACACAACTGCCACCTACCCGGGTTTCATTAAATTTGCTTTCTTTCAAGGCTAAACTCTTCCAAAACAACAGGATGTGGTCATTTTCTGGTATAATCTTTAAAGCATCAGGTGCAGCCAAGGATACTGAAACAAACATTGGAGAGACAGGTGGATATACGACAGGTAAATGTAATAGCAACTTCTTAGTAAATGCAGGGGGGAAAGACCCATTGAATTCAATGGGGCTCACCAGGGTTGGAGCTGCTGGACGTTTGCAGGGGTTCAGGAGAACCTCTAGCTCAGATTCTGTGCAGTTCAGAGAACCCCCAAATCCCACTCATGGCTGGCCCTACCAGGGATGGGTTCCAGCTTCTTTTACTGCCAATTTGCTCAGGGATGAGCACTTGATGCACGCTACATGCGCATGCGTAGAAGCAAAAAACAAGATGGGGGTGCCGATAGAACCCATTTGGTTGCGTGTCCAGCCAAGTTACTACCTACTCGGTCAAACCAGTCCGAACCAGTAGGGACCCACCTCTGGGCCCCGCCCACCCCACCTCGCCCCTCCCAGAAGTGCCCACGCGGCCCATTTTGGATGCAGGTAAGTGGAGGGTGAAAAATGGGCCTACCGGAAGCTCGGGAAATACGGGGAGGCCATTTTCGCTCTCCCGGAGGCTCTAGGAAAGCCCCCGGAGCCTGGAGAGGGCAAAAATGCCTCCGACTTGGTGCAGAATGCCGACTTGGCCACCCCTACCATGGCCACACCCACCCAGCAACCAGGCAGAGAACCCCTTGCTAAAACTTTTGAAGCCCACCCCTTCAAAACATCATCATTCTCTGGATGATGTTCAGCCCTTAGGCCAAAATGCTCTTACCTGTGTTGATTTTCAAACTAGCTTCTTTGCTCATGTTTCCTAGCTGTATAACGATGTGGTATCTTCCGCCGGGATCCAGTTTCTTGATGGTATATTCCACCGTGCTGTTTCGGGTTTTCACCTTGTAGTTTCGATCCGTCTTTCTTATTAAGTCTTTCACAGCCACCGCGTACAGCTGGGGAGAAGCAAAAGTGGAGACTCAGGACAGGGGAGAGGCAGTGTCCTTCAATGTCCAACACAAAATAGGGTATTCTGGTTGGAGCATCATTTTAGGACAGTGTCTTTCAACCTTGACAACTTCAAGAGGTATGGACTCAGAGGTGGGTTCCTACCAGTTCGCACCTATTCGGTAGAACTGGTTCGTCAAATCTACCAACCCGGTTANTTGCCTTCTGAGATGGTTTGCACTTGTGAATGTGGACCAGTTCCAAACACATCAGTGCCTACCACTCAGGGGTGGGTTACTCCTGGCATTACTGCTGGTTCGGTGCACACAATTTTTTTTTAACCAACACTATTTTGTATTATTAAATATTAAGTCGATTCGTTTTACCGTCAACCCCCAAGGATTATCATTTTCTCTTCTGCTCTCTATACATCATATTTGTACCTTATCCATCACTTTCTTCTCCCTCTCCTCCTCCTTCTCTCCTTTCTTCCCTCTGTCATCCTCCTCTTCTCTACTTTCCCTTCTTCTCTTCTCTCTCCTTTCCATTCCTTCTTTCTCTCCTCCTCTTCCCCCACCCCCTCTGCCCTCTCTCCTAACCTTTCTTCTTCCTCTTGCCTCTCTCTTCTTTTCCACACTCTTCATCTCAATTTTGTGTGTGCACTCTGCACATGTGGGCATTTGCACAAAAATAAGTCTGCATATGCAAAAGGAAAAAATTAAAATTTGTGCAATTACAATTGTTCTTTGCATGCGCAGAACTGAAAATCAAGATGATGGCCCCGTAGGAGAACTGGTTCAGGGGCATGGCAAGCCTGGGTCACTGCTGGTTACAGTGACTCAGGCCACCAAATCACTACCGCTTCAGCCAAACCAGTCTGAACCGGTAGGAACCCACCTCTGCTACCACTTCTCTGACACTTTCTCCCGGCATAAAGTTACCCAAATAGCTCAAATAAAATCTTGTATGAAATAATTTCAGAACTGGCTCCAGCACTCCGCAAGCAACAAGACTTCCTCAGCCACTCTCCCCACCCGCCTACCCGCCTCCATCAAATGTTTTTCAAGTTAATAAATTCTTCCAGAAGGGATCCTTAGGGCAAGGCAATGCCGCATACGCTGAAAAATTAGCAAAAGCTTCTTCCGCGTTGCTAATGACTTGGTCAATTGAGAATGTGTAATAAAGCTCATTTTGGTTCGTGGTTGAGCTTAGCTGGCTGAATTCCTTGGTGTAGAAAATATGAGGTTTTGATATTCCTGCTTAGAATAATTGACTCATCTGAGCCCCGTTTGAACCCCGTGATTCATGGCTTCTCAAATTAGTAGGGACATAGTTAGGCTAATCGGTGGATGTAATCAACAAAGCCTTTGCAAGCGCCTTTCGCAATAATAGATTAAGCTGTCAAGTAGAGCATCTCTTGTTTCAGTTACGATCAGGCAAAGAAGTCCAATTAAAAATCCTCATTAGCACATTTTCTTCCAGATTTGATTCTCTGGCTGGGCAAGGGGACAGAGCACCACCGAAATGAGCCCATTTGAAATATGCCCCAGATTTCCTTTCCTTTCCGCCCCAGGTCGATTTTTCCGGGTCAAAGACATTCTCCGAAGCATCAAGCTTTCCAAGGACCATCCATCCTCCTGGACCATCTCCTCATCCACCCAGCTTGAGCCACGTGCTCTCGCTGATTAGTTCCCCCCCCCCGCCGCCTCTTTGTTCCCAGGCCTTTGTTTATTCCGTAATTAATCACTCCTTGGACAGGTCTCTTGGGCGGGGACAGAAAAGGGGCTACTCCTGCAGGTGTGGCTTTCTCGACTGGTCCGTGCAATCAGGAGCTTTCAGCCAGGCCTTTGTTCACTGCTTCTCAAAACTGGCGAGAGCCAACCATTTGCAGGGCTTAATTTGGGATTTGCCAGCCTGGGACTCCTGGATGAATTGAGATCAAATTCCTGGAGTTGTAAGAGCAGTGAAACATGGGGGGAAGGGGTGGGGAATTTCTCCTTGGCTGATCTCAGATTGCTCAGCAGGGAGAGATGTGGATGTGGGACACCAGGGGGAAATCCCTAGGCTGCCCCAGAAAGTCAGCCATCGTTGCAGGTGAAGTAAATGTCAAAATAGAGTTGGAAGGGAGCTTGGAGGTCTTCTAGTCTAACCCCCTGCTCAAGCAGGAGACCTTATACCATTTGAGACAAGTGGCTGTCCAGTCTCTTCTTAAATGTACCCCCAACTTCTGAAGGCAAAGCTGTTCCACCGGTTGATTGTCCTCACTTTTAGGAAGTTTCTCCTTAATTCCAGGATGCTTCTGTCCTTGATTAGTTTCCATCCATTGTTTCTTTTTTAAAAAAAGTTTGTTTATTTTTATTCCCTTAAATATAGTTACAGGTATACATTCATATAGTTACTGTTATGATTTATTTTAATCACTTTTACATATTTGTTTTTCCATATAAAAAGTTAAAATATACATTTCGGGTTACTTTTCTTACCATCCCATACATCTATTTTGTATTATCACCACCCTCTTTTTTTTCTTTTCACCCCCCTCCCTTCTCTACTTTCTTCCTTCCTCCTCTCCTTTCCCTTTCCTACTTCCCTTACCTCTCCCCTACTCCTCTCTTCCCCTTCCCCCCTCCTACCCTCTCTCCTCTTTCTATCACTTCCCTCCTTGCTCTCCTTTCATCTTTCTTCCTTCTCTCCCCTTTCCCCTCTCCTCCTGTCCTCCTCTCTTCCTTTCCTTTTCTGTTGTAGTGGTTATCTGTTTTCAACTCTGAACTGGTGTATTTTAGGGGTGGTATTCCCGGAAGCCCTGTTATAATTTTATGCTTACCCTTTCATATTCCCTTTTCTTCATTATCATATCCTATTTTCCCCTCTATATCTCATTCTCTCTCTCATCCTCTCCCTCCCTCTCTCCCTTATTCACTCTCTGTCTCTCCCTTCTCCCTCTTTCTCTATCCCTCCCTCTCTCCCTTATTCACTCTCTGTCTCTCC